GGATTGGCTGCTCAAAACATATTCATCTGATTCCATCATGGGAATAACCACATCACAACTGCTTAAACCACACAGACTTGTGGTCCAGCCAAGTGGACACCCAGCTCCAACAATCACAGTGAATGAACAGAGGTCGCCGTGCCCTGCCTCATTTCTGACGCTGACGCCGACCAGTGCTCACTGGTCACCAAGTGTTACATTGTTGTGGTTCGGTTTCCAACCATGTAAAAGCCACTCTTAGCTCTGCTGTCCGGAGCTGGGGCCGGTGGGACCTGGCCCTGGGACGGGGTTTGCTGTACCCTGGTCTGAAGCACGCATCCAGGCTCTGTGTCCCCCTGTCCCCGACTGATCATCCGGGGCCTCAGTTTCCCCATCTGTAAAAAGACCACGGTCCACCACCGTGACCCTCAGATCATGACTCTTAGCTATAGAAAGCCCACAGGCCCAAGTGCCTCCCGGACCACAGGCAGGCCCAAGAGAGGGTGGCTCTGAGCGGATTGGGGTGGGGACCCAGCCCCGCAGTCCCCACCTGCACATGCTGACCAGAGCCTGCTCCGGGCTAGGCTCCTGACCCAGCCACAGACCTGCCCCGGCCACTCAGGACGGGCATGGGCAGGACGAGCTGGGCTTCTGGGTGGTCCTCTCGGCACTGTCCCAACTCCCCTCTGCCCACAGCGGTCCTCTCCTGGGCCTCTGCTTTGGGACCTCCTGGGCCCCCTCCCCGACCCGGGCACCTGCCCCCCTCCTGGGCCCCCTCCCCGACCTGGGCACCGCCCCCCTCCTGGGCCCCCTCCCCGACCCGGGCACCTGCCCCTCTCCTGGACCCCCTACCCCCTGGGCGCCCCTCTCCCTTCTGGACCCTCCTGGGCACCCCACCTCCTCTTGGATCCCCTACCCCCTGGATGCCCCTCCCCTCTTGCGTACCCCTCCCCTTCTGGGACCCCCTCCCCCCAGGGTGCCCCTGCCCCTCCTAGACCTCCCTCCCCTCTGGGTCCCCCTCCCCCTCCTAGGTTCCTCTCCCCTTCTTGGGCACCCTGCCCCCCAGTGCACCTCCCCCCTTTGAGGGACCCTCCCTCTCCTGGGGACCCTCCCCCATTCCCCTTCAGAATTCAGCCCTGTCCTCTGAGGGTCCCTGTGTTTCCTCACTGCCCCCGAGCCCCCTGCCCCCTCCCTGTGTGTCCGCAGCTCCCCCAGCCCCAGGGGAGGTGGAGTCCCCTTCCCCCATTCCCAGCACGGGGTTCAGTACAGGCACCCGTGGTCACTGGGCCTGAGGGACCCGTGCACCGAGCTCTCGTCACCCCATTCCTCCATCGCTGTCCCCACCCTGGGAAGTGGTGGGGGACCTAGATGGGGTGCTAGGCAGGGAGGGGAGGGGTGCCTGTCTGCTCTGCTGGCCGGCCCCCGGGCGACACTGATGCCCGCACTCTCTTGCAGGCAGAGTACAGGCTGTACAACGGGTCCGACAAGGAGTGTGTGTCCCCAACGGCCAAGGTCACCAAGAAGGAGACGCTCAAGGTGCCCCACGAGCTGCCTCTGCACCAGCTGCCGCTGCACCCCGCGCCACCCCCCCCCTGGGCTGCTGGGGGCTTCTCTTCAGAGGGTGGGGGGGCCGGAGGCCACCCAAGGCACCTCCCCGACCCTCTGGGTGCCCGGCAGGCGCAGAAGGAGAACTACCGCCAGGAGAAGAAGCGGGCCACCAAGCAGCTGTTCAGCGCGCTGACCGACCCCAGCGTGGTCATCATGGCCGACAGCCTGAAGGTGGGTCGTGCCACTCACCTGGAGGTGTCCCCCCAGTGCCCCACACACGGGGTGACGGCCAGTGTGTCCATCACTGCCCTCCCGCTGCAGCCCTGTCCAGAGGAGCCCCCTGATGCCCATGCAGCCCCTCAGTGCCCCTCGGGCCCTCAAACGCTTGGGGAGTCCCATGCCAGACACAGAGGACGGGTGGCAAGGGTCCAGCCTCAGGAACAAGGAACAGGGTTGGGGACCAGGGGGCCCATTCAGGCCTCATCCAGGCAGGGGGCGACTCACCAAGCCTCCAGCCTGTTTTCCCCAGACAGTGGGGGTGAGACTGCTGAGAAAAGCGGGGATCAAAGGCACCACGGGGCTTTGTCGACTGCAGGTGCCTGGGCCTGCGCGGCCTCCTTTGAAAACTGAAACAGCCTCTGCCCACGGCCCTGAGTGAGCCCCAGGCCTGCCGTGCTGTCCCGGAGGGCATCCGACCTGCTCAGCCCTGGCCTGGGCACCGGGACATGACATGCCACTCTCACAGAGGGGCTGCAGGGGGAGTGCAGGAGGGGAGGGAAAGTTCTCCCTGTGTCTGTCCTGCCCCTGCCTGGGTTACTGCAGATGCCCTAACCCTGCCTCAGTCCATCTAGGGGGAGGACCTGCCTTCTATATTTCAGCTTGTAGTAAGCAGCCCTGGTGGCACAGTGGTTAAAGTGTCCCGCTGTTAGCCAAAAGGTCAGCGGTCTGAACCCACCAGCCACTCTGTGGGAGAAAGGTGTGGCAGTCTGCTTCTGTGAAGATCGACAGCCTTGGAGGCCCTCTGGGGGCAGTTCCACTCTGTCCTCTAGGGGCGCTGTGGGTCAGAATGGACTCCAGGGCAGTGGGTGTGGTTTGGGCTTTGCTTCCGCAAAGACTGACAGCCTTGGAGACCCTGTGGTGCAGTTCCACTCTGTCCTCTAGGGGC